TGCGGAACCGGAGACATTCTGCTTTTTCGGTAGCGCGAGGGTTTAGGGTTTAGGGTTTAGGGTTTAGGGTTTAGGGTTTAGGGTTTAGGGTTTAGGGTTTAGGGTTTAGGGGTGCGCAGGCGGCGAGAGGGAGGCTCTGCTGCGCAGATGACAGGCACCGCGGAGACTCATATTCGCGAAGCTGCTTAGGGTTTAGGGTCGAGGGTTTAGGGTTTAGGGTCGAGGGTTTAGGGTTTAGGGTTTAGGGTTTAGGGTTTAGGGTTTGGCTCAGCACCTTGAAGTTCAACGCGCGCGTGCAGCGGCTCATCACCCGAGGCACTTATGATCATGTCGGAATGGTTTTGAGAAACCGAAGAGGAGAGGTTTACATTTTGGAGTGCATGGGCGACACGGTGAGGGTTTAGGGTTTAGGGTTTAGGGTTTAGGGTTTAGGGTTTGGGGTTTGGGGTTTGGGGTTTGGGCAGCCGGCGAGGGGGGAAGCGCGCCGCCTGCGAGGGTTTGGGGTCTGGGCGTGGGATTTAAACGTGGGGCTAGGCACTGACTGTTTAGGGTTTAGGGTTTAGGGTTTAGGGTTTAGGGTTTAGGGTTTGTTTGTTCTCCTAAGGGGGTAATTTTGACTGCTTGGTCTTCTCTGGTCAACAACAAATGGTACAGGGTTTACCAAAGGTACGTTAGTTGTTTCTTTAGTCCTTTTGAATCTCTTTTTGTTTCATTTTATCTCTTTTAATTAGTTTAATTTCTTTTTTGTTTCTTTTCTTTTTGTTTCTTTTTGTTTCTTTTTGTTTCATTTTTCTCTTTTCATCTCCTTCCCCTCTTGTTGCCTCTTTTCTCGTGTCCTTCCACTTTTGTTTTAATTCTTTTTTCGTGTTGAATGCCGCTCGACCCCCAACTGAAAGTGCACTAAAAGCGGGAAAAAAGCTGCAAATAGAGGAAACTTTTGAAGCAAAATAATAAAATAAACGAAATAAATCAAAATGGAGAAAAAAACGGGGGAAAAAGAAGCGTTTTTGGCGAAAAAGCGCTTTTTTTCCCCTGCGACTTTGCGCAAGCTGGGGTGTACGTACACCCGAAACGCGCTGCGCACTTGGGGTGTACGTACACCCGAAACGCGCTGCGCACTTGGGGTGTACGTACACCGCAGAATTGTCTGGCGAAGACTTTACTGGGAAGTTTCCGAAGAAAAACTTTTTGCACTTTTGCAATTTCTGAAATCTGTTATTGGAAAAGACTACAAACTTACGCTGGCCAAACTGCTCACCAGAAAGCCCTATGGTGGGCCTTTTGATAATTCAAACTTTTATTTTTTTATTTATTTTGTTTTTTAGTTGTGCTTTTGGTGTTTATGTTTATTCTTTTATTATTATTTATTATTTATTTATTTATTTATTTATTCATTTATTTATTTATTTATTTTTGTTTAGTTGTGCTTTTGGTGTTTATGTTTGTTCATTTATTTATTATTTATTATTTATTTATTCATTTATTTACTTATTTTTGTTTAGTTGTGCTTTTGGTGTTTATGTTTACTCATTTATTATTAATTTATTTATTATTTATTTACTTATTTATTTTTGTTTTTATTTGTATTTTGTTTATATTTATACTTTTATTAATTTGCTTATTTTTGTTTTTATAGTAGTTGTATTTTTATTATCTTTATATTTGAACTTTTATTTTTCCATTCTTTTATTTTTGTTTCTGCATTATTTACTTGTATTATATTTTGTAAATTAGGTTTATATTTAAACTTTTATTTATTTGCCTATTTTTGCTTTTATATTTATTTAATTACATTATCTTTTTGTTTTCCCTTTATCTGCAATTATACTTTTATTATTTTCTCGTTTTTATGTTTATTTAATTTTATTTTCTTTTTGCTTTTTTTATGTTTATTGTTATATTTTTATTGTCCTTTTATTTATTTTTTTGTTTATATTTATTTAACTATATTTTCTTTATATTTGTGTTATGTTTATATTTTTGTACTTTTATTATCTTTATGTTCGTGTCATTTTAATTTTAATTTAATTTTTATTTTAATTTAACTCTAATTTTAATCTAATTTAATTTAATCTAATTTTAATTTTATTTTTTTTGTTTTTTTGCAGATGCAACAAATGCCGAAGGCTTCTTTTGTTCAGAACTCATTGCAGGGGCATGGAGGGTTCGTTGCTGCTGCTGCTGCTGTAGTAGTTGCTGCTGTTGCTGTTGCTGCTGCAGTAGTTGCTGCTGTTGCTGCGGCTGCTGCTGCTGCTGTTGCAGTAGTTGCTGCTGCTGCTGCTGCTACTGTTAGTCGTGCTGCTGTCGCAGTAGTTTCTTCTGCTGCTGTTATAGTTGCTGCTCTACAACAGTTGTTTGTGTTGTTGTTGCTGTTGCTGCTGCCGCTGCTGCTGCCGCTGCTGCCGCTGCTGCTGCTGCTGCTGCTGCTGCTGCTGCTAGAAAGCGTGCTGCTGAGGTGTATGTACACCTCAGGTGATGGGGGTAATTCCTGAAGACGCGA